CTTTTTATTGAGCATTCTATTATTTGCAGCTACAAACATACTCACTTATATAGCTGCTTACCACCTGCGTTAGGAATGCAGTAAGGACCCAATTAATACCTTTGTAATTTTTTGTCATGACAACAGAAAGACATATCTTGAATTGAGTATCATTTTCTAGCTGATGCTCAGAATTACCTTGAATTTTCTAATCATAGAGGCCAAGGGGATCATGTTAATTTCATTAAGCAGCTACTGTGTCCAAGCACCATACAAGGCATAGTATCTAAGAGTAATCAGCACAGAATCTTCTAAACCAGTCTCCTTTAACTGATAAAGAGTACATCTATATCTTGCATCTTAAACAACTGAAAATTTCCATTTATTACAAATGTAAAACATAACCCCCAGTAGTACTTGTGACTTTGTCACCTATAGAAATCACAGCAGTTGTTGAAGACATCTCAAAATACCATGACTCTCAAGACTATTTCAAAAGCACAAAATCTACAAAACAAAAACTGCAAAATCTTATTCAATACAATGATGAAAAGCACAAATGCTACTGTGTGATACATTATTTTCAAATGTTTCAATAATTGAATTGAAATATAATTGGCTTCCTTTGTAATGCTATGTGTTTTAATCCACATATTTAAAAATATTATTCTAAGAAAAGTTTCCAAAGCTTCAGACTTATAAAGTAGTCCTTAACACAAAAGGATTTTACATTCTCATAATTATAATTAGTCTTCCTTGTACTGTTGTTTTTGCACTGAGGACTGAACCCAGGGCCTACTGCTAAGCACAAGCTCTGCCACTGAGCTATATCCCCAACCTCTTAGTTATTTTTAATAGTCTGTCTATTCTCCATTCAAAAAGACAAGGGTAATCTCTTTAAAAGGTAAATAAGATCAATATACTCCCTTATTTAAACATGAAACAAATGCAAACTCTTGACTTTGACTGATCTGATTCTGCAGGATTTGAGTTTAGCTTCCTTACATTTCCTTTCATGATTGTAACTTCCACTCTCTGCTCTAGCCATACTGAATTTCTTTCATTTCTTGGGGACTTCTGAGCCATTTTATAATCTGAGGTCTTCATCTTTGCCTAGAATGCCTACACTGAGGGTAGCCACTTAGTTCTTATACTGTAGCAATGAGGCACAACACCCCTTTTGCAGACTTTCTACCAAACCATCCTAAGCCTTCCCCTATTCCACCAATGCCACCATTTCTATTTTCTTCTTTCAAATCACTCATCATAACAAAATTATATTTTTTTGTTTTTGTTGAGCACTGAATCCCAGGATCTATTAAGGTGTTAAGAAAAAGACAAAAACCTAATGTTAAATGAATGAATGGCAAAACATTTCAAAGAAGTTTTTATTAACCCATTTGCAAGTGTGGAAATTGAGGCTAAATGTTACATCATGTGAAAATCATTTTAACTGGTGTCCTCAGCCTCCCCTAAAAACACCACCATTCATATTACATTTCTGCCACTTAGTAGAAAGCATAATAGACCTAAAATAAATTTATGCAACATGACTTCTTGGGAGTTCAGTGCCCCACTGTTCAAGCATATGTCACCAACAAACCCTAAAAGCTAACATTTCTAAGAGGATCAAACTAAATTAAAATATATTTCTTGGATGTGGTGATTTTCTCTGTTTGTATGTCTGTCTCTCCGTATATATGCAAAATATTTTTCACCCCTGAATCTTATAAACATGCAAACAATAAAATCAAATGGAAAGGGAAAAAGCTAGAAAAGATAAATTACAAAAAGGAACAAATCAGATAAAACCAGGGGCAAATGCTGATATATAAAATTACATGTTATAAGATGTTCATGCTATATTACCTAATACAGCCCATAATTTTGGTCACATACCTCCTAGTATAAAGCACTGAGATACAGTCAGTCAGTGACATTGCATATTAAAATAACTCATTCACTTCTAGGGAGGAATATACCTACTTCTGTTTTTAAATCTTGAAATAAATTTCTCTTGCAAGTCCTTACAATGAAAGCATGACAAGATATGGTAATCAGCATTTTGAATTATAGCTTTATAAATAAATATATCAAACTTCATAAACACTTATGTCTTAATAGACCTGGCTGGTATAATGCCAAAAATTTATGTACTATTGTATTACCTTATTATACAAATTATAGTCCATAGACCAGCAGCAATCTAGTATCACATAGGGGACTTGTTAGAAATGCAGAATATCAAGCCCTATCTTAAATCTGTATTTTATTAATCATATCTGCATGTAATTCCTACTCATATTAAACTTTAACAAGCAGTGGTCTAATGGGTTAGTTGGATCCAAGGTAAGAAACTAAAACTCATTTAATTAATTCATTCAACAAGTATTTACTCAGACCTAAGCAACTGGAAAGAATTTCTTTAAATGTAAAACTAGAAGCACCACTGTAAAGGAAAATATTGATAACCTAGATGTCATTAAAGATGAGTGTTAAAGCAAATCTTAGTGCAAACAATATTTGAAACAACACCAAAAAAGAAAAGTTTGGTACCTAATATGTGTCAGAAAGTAAGCTAATGCTTGGGGTATGGCAATGACACTAAAACATCTCTACCCTTACGGAGTTTATTTTCTAACTATTAAAGACATAAATAAATTGAGTAAAATAATGCAGAAAGGGGGGGCCAGGGGGTTGTAATTTTAAATAGGGCACACAGGAATGTCCTCTCCAAGGAGTTAAAGAGACATAGATGGTCACGGAGCTAGCTGGAGCAATACCATAGGGCAAGTGTTCTAAGCAGAGAGAACAAACAGTACAGCCTGAGACAGAAGAATGCTGAAAACAGCAAGAGCTGATGAAAAGTAAGCAAGAAAAGAAGTAGGCATGCAGGGGGCTAGATCATGTGGGCCCTTGTCAGCCATTTTAAGTGTCATAGTTTTAACTGTGAGATGAGAAGCTGTAGGAGAAAAGATAATAGGGATCCACACAGGATGTTTAGCAGGTAAATGGCACAATGAAGTGAGTTGTTAAGACTGCTTTCCTAAAGGTGGATAGAATGGTTTAGTGGGAGAATCCAGCCTAAACTACAATGAGCTAGTCACAGTATACTGTAATTCTCAGGTTGCAAAGATGCATCAAGTAGTATGGGGAAGATACAAACTAGGGTAATAAATAAGGAAACTGCCAGAGGAAGGCTAATACAAAAGACACTGGAAGGTGGAAATCCGGGACACAATGACAGATCATTCATAGAGAAATTACATCCAAGTTGGAAATTCAGTTTTATCAGTGTTTATGGATTATCTACACAAGGCAGGACCATGTGCTAACTTAGATTTGAGGGGGAGAATTGCTTGCTTAGACCCTACTCCATACCCTTCAAGTCCGAATTGCTTAAATTTTGGAAGCTGAGGCTAGTGCTAGGACTATATGATACAATAAGAATTTTTTTTTAACTTAGGAATTTTTTCCATCTCTGCGAGTCAGGGGACACATCTCATTTGATTAGTATAAAAAGATTTCATCTGGTAGGGGAATCAGAACAAAGGTTTTCAAATGTTTTTGTGATTTGGCACTGCATACTGGCAGGGTTCCTCATCTCTGTTTCTGCGTATATGACCTGGTGGTTATCCCACTCTGCCATTCCATTCTGTCAAAGAGGCCTCAAAGTATGGAAAGAGGAAAAAGAAATCTTAAGGAAAAGAACTGGAAAAAAATAAATTTGAAAATTGCCTACCACCAGACTGCAAGATCTGGGAAGCAGAAGTAAATGCAATGCAAATGATATGTAAATAGCTCAGTGGCCTTCTAAAAGGTTTTATACAACTGGAAGGGCCCCTGGGAAACTGCTAGCAGGTAACAGTGACTCAGAAACAGAATGCACTATTTCAAGACAACTTTGTGACACAGACCTTTACTGCTCTGCTAGCACACTGCACATTCTTTAATAATCGTTTTTCACACTTGACTAAGCCTCACGTGCTAATAAATCAAAAAATATCATCTGCCCTGTAGAATTTATCTAAGTTAATTATACTTTTAAAATGCACTTTATACCATTAATTTTTCTTCCAATGCCCTTCTCACCCAAGTAAAGCCAAGTTAAATGTGTCAATTCTTCACTTGAACAATATGTGGCTCTAGTGGATTATCAATGAAAGTGCCTCTTTTTCAGTTCTAGTTACTATGATACTCTAGAGCTTTTTTTATCATCTATTCCACAGGAACTGGCACAAGCTGTATTCAAAGTGAATACAGAAAAAAGAAAATACATAGAACCATAGTTGTGAAATCCAATTCGTTTTAAGAAGCCATTAAAAAGCTATTCATCAAGAAGATGCCGCATCAAGAATGCTGTGGTTTTGACTATCCCAATTACATGTTTTCATATGAAAAATGTACATTTGATCAAAGTGGGGGTGTTTTCTGTCTACATTTATGGATTTGAAAAAAGGATGGATTTTCCCATTAAATATGCATTTGATAAGAGCTATGGTATAAATTAAGTAGTACGCCAGATAGTAATCACATTAGACCAACAGAAGAGCAATTTTCTTGTTTACAGACCCCGGGGGGCCTAGAAGTAACCTACCTTCACACCAGCCCTTACAAGTTACCTTACTTTTCTGATGCTCTTAACACTCGAAGGTGCCCTAGATATTGACAGCACGATCCAAAGAAAGGAAATTCCTTCTTTTCATTTATTTATTTATTGAGTTTTTGAAGTCTTGCGTGAAAGAACCACACTGTCAGTTCGCAGAGAGCTAGAGGACAAGGAGAACTCTGTGATGATGCCCTGTTCAGTATAAAGAGGAACAAAAAGCAAAGTCTCGAAATTCCAACAAAGGAGAAGCTGAAAGGAGGGAGGAGGGCAGAATAGGACAAAAGCAGAAGATAAACCTTAAGAGACTAAAGAAATGACAGAGCCTGACAAAGAGGCACCTAGAGACCATCCAGGGGCAGTGTCATTGAGGGCTGGCGGCGAGCGCCCCCCCGCGGCCGGGGCCGCTTCTTACCTCCTGGGCGAGCTTCTGCTTGAGCACTAGCGCAGCACACAGATAGCCCGCGCGGCCCACAAACAGCTCGTCAGAGCCGCACTCCAGGAAGGAGACCGGCGCGCAGACGGCGCACAGAGCCCGGAACTTGCCCAACGGCTGCACGTAGTCGGACCGTCCCAGAGCGTGGTACACCAGTGTGGCGACCGCGTACACGCCCGCGCCCCCGAGCAGGAAGGCAGCGCGGGTGTCAGCGTCCGGCTCGCCCCACTCCTCAGCGCGGGCGCACGCGTCTATGAGGCGCTTGGCTGAGCGCAGGTAGCGCTCCCGGGCTGCGGCGAAGAGCGGGCTCTGAGAGACATGGTAGAGCATGTAGGCCACCCCCGCCACGCCACTGTACAGCCCTCCTTGGCAGCTGCTGGCCCCAGCCGTCGCCCCCCTGGCCTCAGCGCCGCCCCCAAGCGGGGGCAGTTCTTTGAGGATGCGCTCGATGGTGGCGGTGACCAGGGGCGCCACTGCCTCCTCGCACTGGCCAGCCAGCAGGCTGCCTTGGTAGTCATCGAAGCGGTTGGCGAAGCAGCGCTTGGTGTCCATGCTGTTGCCTGTGCCCCACAATGTCGAGCTGGGGACCGCTTAATGGTGCGCCCTGCCACTCCCGCGCACGATCTCCGGCTCCCTGAAGCACTTGGTGACTGCGTATGCGGCGGGGATGAAGCGAGAAGGGTGAGGTTGGAGGTGACAAGAGGAGGCGGGTGCGAGAAAAAAGCACAGAGCGAATGGCCAAATGGGACACCAGGCTGCCGCGAAGCTCTGGAGTGGCCTTGGTGAAGGCGGGGGATGCGCGTCGTGCACCCCCCTCCCAGAGGCTGCGCGCCCCCTCCTGCGCCGCCGCAGCTCTGCCGCCTCTCCCAGGGGCCGAGGTGATCTCAGGCGGGACCCACGCGGGGCCCATGCCACTCCTCCCACTCCGCCCTCAGCTCCTCCCCTCCTGGCAGAAGGCCAGGCAAGTGGGGGACAATCCAAAATGCTAAGACTGGGCATTAGCGCACCTGGCAGTGGAGGTGATGGCCTCAGTCCCTTGTATACCTCAAGTACTGTGCTCAAGTCAGAAGGATGAGTCACCTACGCACATATCAAAAATATCTCAGTCTTCACTCCTGACCTATTGACTATTTAGTAAGATCCCCAGATGATTCATTGGAATGCACATTCAAGTTTTAGAAGCCAGTAACTAGGCTAAAGTATCAGAAAAAAATAAACAAGAAGCCCCATCCAAGTGAACAAAGACTTCTAAATTTGTCTTTTGGGTACTTCAGAGTTTTCATCTTCTTTCTATCCTAAAGGCTAGGGGATTTGTGTCCATTGTGTTTCCTGCTAGAAAGCCAAAATGTCTCAATAAAGAATTTTTTTTTCTCGTCCTTGCTTACTTTAGTTGCAGTTTTGCTATTTTTTTTTAATATACAAGATTCAAAACCAAAAGAACCACACCAAGTTAAGGCAAACAAATAGGGTCTCCCTTGCCAGCCTTCCTCCCCAGCCCTATGTGTAAGTTAGAGGCCAAAAAAAATCTTAAAATCATAACTACTTAACAGAATGAGCCTTGTGTGAGAATATAATTAAGATTTCAATGATTCTGCTGTGTTCTTAGTTTCTTCCTTCCCTCCCTTTTTTCCAGTGTTCCCTTCTGCTTTCGGTAGGCAAGCATTATTTAGGGTTTCCTGTGTGTCCTGGATTCTCAAAATGTATGAGAAACATAGACATGTTCCCAGACCTCTTAGAGCTTAAACTTCAGTGGGAGAGACAGAAAAGAAGTAGTTGTACTGTACAAACTAGTTGTCTTTCTCTGATTTACCCCTCCATTCTTGCTAATACAGTCTGGGAAAGGACTGAAGTTTGCCAAAATTATGGGCAGGACTGACACATTTATCTAGTTCAGGGATGGGTTGGCTGTCACCCTTTGATAACACTACCAAAGCAGGCGTATTTTAATTACTACAAATGATGATGATGATAATGCAGCTAAATCCAAAGGGAATTTGAGAAGTTAAAGGAAGAAAGGACATCAAAAGAGGAACTGAAATGTTTAATGTTGAGGCTTCCTTCCTCATACTTCAATTGGAATAGGTATTAAGATATAGACATAAAATGCAAGATTTTGCAGGCAGAAATGGAGCCCTAATCCATTTCATTCCCTCACATCCCACTCTTGGAAATCTAGAGGCACTTATGATAACTCAGACTCTGATTATCCTTCCACACACTCCACCCCAGAGATGGTACCAGCAGCAATGACAAGGAGAAGGAGCCCTGCTTTTCCTGTTTTGTCACTTGTCTATTGTTCTCAAATGCTATACAATGATCTCAAACTCTCATAGCATGTAAAAAGTTTACTGTTCACACATCTAGAATCTTGGCTGGACTCACAAATGCATTTGGATATGGTTGGCTCTTGCTTAGTGAGACTAAAGCAACTGGACTGTGGCCTACTTATGTGTTGTCCTCCAGCAGGCCCACCCTAGCATGCTTACCTAGCATGCAATGGAAGAGGGCCAAAAACAAAGTACAAATGTGCAAGAATTCTTCAAGTCTAGTCTCCATACTGGCATCCTCTTTTCTGTCTCATTCTATTGGCAAATCACATAAAGAAATAGGAGGTGTTTTTATAAAACTCCAAAGGCCCATGAAAAAGAGTGTGAATACAAAAGATGGAATCCTAGAGGTTTCTTTTGGACATTGATGGAAGGAAGCAAGTACGATAATACTCATAAGATGGATATAAAGCAAAGGATGTGGAAGACACAACAAGTTAGGGATATCCAGAGGCCTTCTTGAACTCACAAAACAAAAGAACCCTTTAATCTATATAATGCTTTCTGAAAGATTTCCCTGCCCTGTCTGCTGCACAGTCATCTGCCAAATTTCTAGCCCCAAATATTCTTCACAATGGAGCAAGTTATTTAAACAATATGAAGCCCCATCTCTATTTATCATTTACTTAATTTTCAAGTAGTGTTATTCATCATTATTGTACCATTAGAATACACTCTTCATGAGGGTAGGGATTTTTTGTTATGTTTATTTACTGATGTGCACCAAGAGCCTAGAAAAGTCCTTGACTACATGTAATAGGTTCTTAGCAGGTTCTTATTAAAAGTTTATGAAATTAATGGATTAACATAAGAATATTATCATTAAAATAGTCTGGAACATAAAATACAAAATGAGGTCTTTGCTAAAATTTTAACTTGAATTGTTTAAACCCTTATTATTATTGAATCTTCATGCTCTTTCTTATACATGCAAGAATGTAAATCTTAGGCAGTTTCTGCATCCTAATTTTGTCTGTTTCTCCAGATCTGGTGACCTCCATATTTTACCTTGAATTTGGTGACTTCACACATTCTATTTTTACCATCTAACCCTGTGTGACAGATACATTTTCCAAATATGGCCACAACAATATTTCATATACCACATGCTCCTCTACTATCAATGTGACCTTGACATTTCTTCTCTGTTTAGGAGGTAGGCACATGTTACCTACTCTTGAATTTCCGTAGGCTTGTAATTCTCACAAAACCAGTAGACTATAATATGAACTTCATTGCATTACAACCAAAACTAAGTCATAAAACGGAATATAGCTTCTATTAGCTATCTTAGAACACTCACATTTAGACCCTTGAGTTGCTTGTAAGAATCTGACTACTCTGAAGCTACCATGTTGTGAGGGAGCCCTGACAACACAAAGAGGTCACATGAAGGTGCTTGAGAGTATAGCACAGATGACAGAATAATGGAGCCACCTTGGATATCCAGCCTGGTGCATCCTTCATACAACTGCAGCCCCAAGTAAGAAGCATTATCTAAAGGTCTTTCAGATTTTCTGATTTGCCAAATTATGAGCAAAATATAATATTTATTTTAAGTATTTAATGTTTTATGATAACTTACTATGTAGCTATGATAACTAGAACATCCTATGAGTTTCCCATTATCCAATGCCATATAAGGCTTCTCTAATCAAAATTATTTTCTCAATAGGTCAATAACCAGTTGGGAAGAGAAATATTTCAGAAAAATCTGGAAGACAGGGTGCACAGGCACCAGAAAGTTGTATTATTCCACAATAATGTATGCAGTTGAACTTTTAGAATTATTAATGACCCAGCAAGAAATAGCAATCTGTACATCTTGCAAAGTGCATTTACTTCACCCCTATGGGCAAGATTTGTCCTGATACTTACTGAATTTCTCACTGCATTTGCTGATGGGTAGTTCCCAGCACATGGTTTCTATGATCTTGCTGAATTATCCATTTTCGAACTCTTCTTCAGTATTTCATTATGCACGTTATGTAAAACTATGGATGGAAAATAGTTTTAGCAGTTTCATCAAGTAAATCACATAAAAAATATTATTTAAAACTACCCAAGAAAAAGAGTATTAAAATCAAAGTGCTCCTCTCATACAATTCATTGCTATCTAGGGGTGAATATGAAAAAATCAGCATTTGTGTTATTATTAAACTGCGCTCCTTAAGGTATAACACATTTTATTAAATAAGATATTTTTAAGATGCCTCTAGAAAGTTTTCCAAATTTGGTCTCAAAAGATGCATCATAGAAATGGTTGAAATAACTGAATTGTGCTATACCTGGTCCTTTAACATGTCCTCAGTGGAGACTCATAACTAATTTATTAGATTACCAAGCTAATTGGAGAATTCTTCTGCTCTCTCATTCTATACAAGCTCCTCTTAAACCAAAGCCGAAATCGTAAGTCAGATCCTGTTTATTGACCTGCCAATGTTTTGTATGTTCCACAAAAGGAAATCCAGAGACCATAGTGTGGCCTACTGTGCCTAGTGTCATCTGGCCCTCCACAACTAATCTTCCTATTCCTCTTCTACTTCTTCAGATCTTACCATAATGGCCACCTTATGTTCCTAAAACATACTAGTATATATAATGCAGTTTCCTCTTTTTGCAGTGTTCTTTAAGATGTACGTTCATGGCTTGCCTCTTCATTTATTTTTGCTGAGTTTTTTCTGAATTTATTATTTTATTTTATTGTGGCTTTTGTTCTGTTTTTTTTTTTTTTTTTTTTTTTTTTTTTTTACACTGAGAATCAAACTTATGACCTTGTGCTTGCCAGGCAGGCATTTATACCGCTGAACTACACCCTGGCCCCAATTTATTATTTAAATGGCAAACATAACTATTTAAAAATTAAATATTATAGATTTGTTTCTCACCTGTTTCTCACCACTGGAATGTAATCCCCTTGCAGACAAGCATTTTTGCCTTTGCTGTTTCTTGCTGTATCCCCAGGATCTAGATCAAAGCCTGATATAATGTGTTCAGTGGCTATTTATTGCTCTCTGTGATGTTCTTCATAATGCCTGAATTCTCTACCTATAAATGGTTTAACTTTACTGTCTTTTTTTTTTTTTGTCTTTTTCGTTTTTATCGGTACCAGGGATCGAACTCACAACTGCCTGCTTGCAAGGCAGGCACTTATGCCGCTGAGCTAAATCCCCAGCCCCTACTTTACTGTCTTTTTTGACTAGTTTCTTGATTATATTCTCCTAC